CTGGTTATATGCCCAGGCCTGGGGCCCCTAGTGTGTTAAGGGGCCTGTTTCTTGGCTATATTAACATCTATGGTAATAGTTTTACTCAGTGACCATATATATTTATTTGTATTGTTTTAATTGTTTTATGTTTTTATGACTGTATGCCACCCAGAGTCACTTCCTGAGATGGGCAGCTATAGAAATCAAATAAATAAATAATCCTGGAAAGATACTCCAAGTGTTTTGTTTGTTTTGTAGCCATTTAACTGCAAAATAATTGGAACTGATCATACAGTAAAAGTTTAAAAATAATTAAATGCTAAGTGGAAGCACTGGAGAGAAGAGGTAGAAAACTTTGAAGTATTTTAAAACTTGCTGTACTTGCTTATTAGCTTTTTTGGTGACTGTTCTGATGTTGATAATTCCTTTTGCACATTGATTGTATGGGTGCTTGGCTCCATGAGTGACTGGGACAGAGAGCAACTTCCTATCATATCACTTTGCTTGGCAAAAGAGCCTTGAATGGGAGCTTGGCTTGGAGGCCTTTAATGGTGGCTGGACTAGGACAATGTCTATTGTCAGCACTTCTATGTAGCTGTGCACAACTCAACTTCATACGGCTTCATATGCCAGTTCCCTTGTTGTCTTCTTGTCTCCTTATGCGAGTAATTTATCTCAATAGACAGATGACCAAATTTGATGCACAGAACAGCAAAAGCGGCAATGATTTCTTGCACATTTTTTTGATTGGGCAGAACCAAAGTACTGGAGTTAGATGAGCAGGTAGAACTCAATATTTTTCTTACTGCCTTGTAGGCTCAGTAACAATTTGTTTCTATCTCTTCTACCTGAGATGTGCAGAGTCAGAGAAGCTGTAGCAGTAGCACTCTGTTTTAAGTTTTTGCTGCAAAGCTACCGCCAAAGCTTAGAAGAGGAAATGATTCAGTGGTGGGGACTTCTGAATCTTGGGCTATATCAAATGCCCCATCTGGTTGCCAGCCTCTACAAGCCCATATTCTACCAACCAGAAATTGTTTATCTGCTGTATGGTAGGCAACCCTATGTATACTAATAATAAATTTCCATTTCTCATAAACATAACTACAGTCAAGGATATCCTTAATTGAGAAACAATTTTCTTGAACATTGGCTTGGTATATTTTTTGGTGTGAAAGCTTTGGAAAAAGATATTTGAGGAATCAGCTCTGATCAGTATATTTAACATACACAGAGAAGTTTATTAGGAACATCTGTGAGTATAGGAAATTACCTAAAGATAAATGTGTGAATTGGTGGAACTTTTCCAGTAACACTTCTTCTTTCATGCAGCGGTCCCACGAACAAGTGATACACAATGCAGCTCCGTCCCAGAGCCAAGATATGGTAGGAGGATTGGCTCTGAATTTTCAGCTGGTTCTGTAGTTCGCTTTGAATGTAGTCCGGGCTATCTTCTACAAGGCTCCAAGGCTATCCGCTGCCAGTCTGTGCCCAATGCTTTAGCACAGTGGAATGACACAGTGCCAAGCTGTGTGGGTAAGGCTTATTATTTTTAGTTCGCCTGTTTCTAAATCAGAATTTAAGAACATTATTAGTTTTATCAAGTAGTATTAAACAAATAAATTCCCTTGTCATTGATTAATGCTGGCTATGTCCAGTTTAAAAAAGCAATATGTCATTTCAATTGTAATTGAGTACTAGCTGTTTGATAGACAGAATAGAATTTGACATAATGACCTATTAGATTAATATAGTTGATGCATGTTTGCTCACTTTATATTATCAGCATGATTGCCTCTAAAATCATAAGTTTAAGATGAATCTCTGACAATCAGAATTATGCTAATAATTGGACTTACCCTGAAACATGCTTTGCAATATTAAATAATTAATACAATTTAAAAACAGTATCATATTTTAACTTTACAACTGATTCTTGTATTTTATTATAACATGAATCAGAATGGTCTTGCCTAGCAAACTAACTGTTTACTTACTGTGTTTTGTGTGTGACCCTTTTCAGCAGAACTGTGTTTCCATTTTGGGTTTAGTTTTTGTTCCTCTTCAGAGATTTGCATTGTGCAATTTTTTATTGTACTGATAGGGATGGTATAATAGAGAAAATAAAATCTTAATTATTTGAATTATGATAATATCAAGTAGATATAAATTGTAGTGTATTTTTATAATACGGAAGGACATTTTATTTCCTATCATGGATATTTCTACATTGAGTTACGCCAAGGAAGTTCATTTCCTTTCCTTGAAACCTTTATAGCTATGATCATTAGAAAAAAGAAATGTAATTATATAAAGAATATTAAGTACAATCTGAAGGGAGTATAATAATAAGTAAAATAATGCCATACGGGCAGGCCTGGCAACATGGTCTATCCTGCCTTTACAAATTTGGATTTTGATGCTGCAGATTTTCTTGTCCACCACTGATGATTCATGCCCTGTTTCTCTGTTTTCAGTGCTAAAGAGAGCATTCCTTCGCCATGCCTGTCTGCTTTCTTTATACCTCAAATTCTGTAGCTGTTTTCCTATACTGTTGCCCTATTCTTTACCATTTTTGTGGTGTATTTCCCTTTCTAGTCTTAAAATACACTGTCTGACTTGTAGAAAACTTGGTCTGAAATGAGACAAAGGTAGAAATAGTAAAAACTTTAAATTTAGTGAATTTAAAATGTCACTATTGTGATTTAACATTCATGGACACTATCAGAGAAAATAAAACTTTTTGTATATATGCAACTATGAAAAGAGGGAGGGCGCTTTTTTATAGTGAATGTTCTATTTTTCTTGCTCTATAAATAGATAAATTAAATTTAATTCCTATTTTTAATGGGATTTTCCTTCTTTGTCAGCAAAGTTTAAGCTTTATTGTTACTTCCAATTCAATTTTCTTTCAGTGCCATGCAGCCGGAATTTCACTGAACGCAGAGGTACTATATTGTCTCCAGGTTACCCTGAACCTTATGGTAACAGCTTGAATTGTGTGTGGAAAATCATAGTGACTGAGGGATCAGGTATTCAGGCAAGTCCATATTTTGCCAACAGTGGAATATAAAATACTTCAGAATTAAAGTAAAAAACAAACTAATTTATTATTCCTGTCCCCAGCTAAATCTAAAACAAAGAACAAAAATACCTTGTTTTGCATTTTTGTATATATTCATTCACAAATTCAGAGTCTCTCAGCCACCACCACCACCACCACCACCACCCCGCATGTGAAGTACAAAAGCCAAATTATTTCTGTTCACTTCAGTGCAATTTACTGGAAAACAACATTAATTAAAGGAACCTGTTTTGAAATCAGGATTATGCATATTTTGATCATAATTTAGTTCACTGATATACCATGTGCTTCCAGATGAAGCTATAATGATTGCTGCATCTTAATGTAGTCCTTTAAACTGAATGAGGCCATGATGGATTTATTATATGTTTATATAGGATACCAGAAGGTAGTAGAGTGATACTCAAATTATTGCACATAGCTGTTTTTATGAAGTTAATATGACTTGTATTCCTTATGAGATTCGTTTTAACAAGGCCTTCATAGTATTCTTCAAAGATACTGTTAATAAACTAATGAAATATTTTAAGTATTTTAATAAAAACATGCTATCCAAGACAAAGAACCTCTTTCTCTCATAAGCCTTTCTAGACTGAAAAGACAAAACATGTCAGTGTCATGTATGTGCTTCTGTGGAGATGCATGTGGCATGTATATCATTATACAAGAAATAATTTAAAATATTGTTTTTAATTCACACAATGATAATATGAATTAATCAAAGTCTTTGTATTCAGGAAAGCTCATTAAAAGAAACTCTATTTAATAACAACTCCTATAGAGCTGAATTTTAATGAATGTTCATTTTCATATAGCAATTACAACTCAAACTGGCTATGGAGAGAATTTTCAGAGATTATAGAAGGGGATTACTATCTAAAAAAAATGTTCAATCAGTTCAAGAGATTTATCTGAGTTCAGAAGCTTTCCTGAACTATGCTAGTAAGTTTCACAGATTTCACTAGAGCTTATAACTAGCAGTTTCCAGTGCCTACCAGGTTTTGTCACTGGTACTTCCATACTCACCAACTTCTTGTTCCATATGACTTAAAAAAAAAAAAACCTAAACCAAATTGAAGTCATTTTTAATCAAAAATTTTATTAGGATTGCCCTCTTTTAACTGAAACAAGTTTCTTTACATATTTTCTTAAACTAGAAATGTCTTAGTAATTTTCCACTGCCCACAAATACTCCTTTGTTCATATAAAAATAATGGATAATTTCAAAATAGTGACTGTTCAGTGATGGAAATCAGCATTCAGTGAAATGGAGAAGATAAAGTTTTTGGTGAATTCTCCTCCATGCAATGTATTACGTATCCCTCACTTATTCTGTTAGGAAGTTGCAAGTGGATATTATGTAGGCTACAATTGGGGAGGGTATTCTGTTGATTGCTGCCTCCCTAGATGGCAGAGAAGCAAGGGCAGAAAGGTAAATTAGAGTAACTAAGTAAATTAGCCTTGAAAAATATATTTCCTGGAATGTTTATGGTATCTTCAGAAAATGGTGTTTCAGTCTAATTGTATAGTTTACTTTCCTCATTTTCTTTTCTTCCTTGATACAAATATAATTTACCTCATTTTATGCTTGCCTCAAATTAAGCTATTCAGGCAGAATTTTATAATGTACCTGTTTTTGGGCTATACCAAATAGAAGCATGTTTGAATATTGCCGCACACATTTGAACATTCCCAAACATAAAAGCTAGCATTCTGGCTCTAACCTAGTTCCTTCTTGGTAGTCTAGGTTTATACATGCAAGCATTTGTATTAGGAAACAGTTACCCATCTGCTTTCTGAAGTGGCGCAGTTCAGGAAAAAATACCTAACTTGCTGATCAAATGATCTAGGAAACATGGTGTTATCAATTTTAGCTCACCTCTATGTTCATACTATGGTTCTTCTAGTTTCAGTAGCATTTCAATATTATTTTGGTCTAGTGTATGCTTTATAATTTTATTCTTCAATTAGAAAGGTTTATAATATTGTTACTGTGGGCCCTTTCCCCACTGCTGAGTTATACATTTATCCTTGAGTCAGCAAAGATTATACCAACATGAAATTTGCTACCCTTATTTTTGATTCCTATTCTGAATCAATTCCTCCATTAATTGCTTCTGGTGCTGTTCTGATTTTGTGATAAGCCAAGTTAAAAGCAGCATGTATACTTAGGATTCCTACCCCCCCCCCCCCCCCCC